TCCTCAATGCAACAAAAATATTCATTTTCCCATCGAACAAGATACTAAAGTTGAAAATCGAAGCATTATTTCGCTTACTTATCGTGTACAGACAAAAAAAAATGGTGGGCAAGTGGATGTCGCTCTTCTGTACAGTAGGTTACAAGTGGATCACTGTGTATTGGGTGATATTAAATTTGAATTCAACGATATAATATCATTGTATAAGAAAAACGATTCTGAGCGGAGACGGTATGTCAGTCTAGGTATAAAACATAATATATACATATCTATATGGTATTAAACAAAAAAATTGACATATAATAGGTACCTATAATAAATTTCAAATTAATCATATCACAATATCCATTAGGTACTTATAACGCGTTATACATCAACAAAAACCGTGATACTATCATAGATATATAATAGTACACTTTAGAAGTTTCGAGTACCCACGAATAATATTATAATAATATTATTCAATCACAACAAAACAACTAAAATAGTTGTTCTAGGTTTTTTAATATGTAATTTCGTCCAAATTTGAATTTAAAATGTTTGTAAAAAATAACTGTGTTCATATATTTTTTAGATTTTTTGGTTACAGTATGAACTATTTATGAGAACCTTTGTTTTAAATTTGCAACCTTAGCTATAAAAACTGAACATTTTATAATTTATTAATTACAATGAATGATAATTTTCGAGATTTTGATAAATTTTGTCAAAATTCGATCTTTAAATGCTTATAAAAAAAAATTGTGCATATGTATTTTTAATATTTTTCAACTGATATTGTAATAATATATCAGGAACCTTGTATTCAATTTTTACACTTTTTGGCCCAACAGATAAAACTTTATTGATATTTATAGAAAAAAAAAACTAAAAAAAATTGAAAGCTGTAAATGTCCGTAAACAGCTCAAAAAGAGTCAAAATATTTTCAAAATTGTATGGTGTATAGGAAATGCTAATTTAAACATTCAGTGAAATTTTCATGTATCTACAGTTATTCGTTTTTGAATTACAACAAAATAAGGAAATCGCTACATGAGAAAATGAGTGAATATCCCATGTTGTAAAAATTTGAATTTCAAACGCTCATACAAATTTAATTTGACTTTCTTATAGACATTTTTTTTTTGATAAAGGTAGATAATCTTATAAGGAATCTTGTATTACATTTTCAAATCTTAGATTTAAAAAGAAAAATTTTTACGAATTCTCCACTCGAAATAATTTGCTAATTTTCGTGATTTTTCCATATTTTGCAATGTCAATTTTTGAACTTTAAATGCTTATAAAAAAAAATTGTGACTAAGGATTTTTAATATTTTTCATCTGCCTTTGAAACAATATACTAGGAGCCTTCTATTAATTTTCAAGCTTTCGCAACCAACAAACAAAATTTTATTGATATTTTTAGAAAAAAAATTAAAAAAAAAATGGAAAATGAAAATGTTCCTAAACAGTTCAAAATAAATCAAAATATTTTGAAAATGTTATCGTGTACCTATATAAAATCCAAATATAAACAAAGAGTGAAAATTTCATGTATATACGTTCATTTGTTTTAGAGTTTCACCAAAAACCAAAATCGATTTTTTCGAAAACCGATTTTGCATAAAAATTTCCGTTTTTCCTTAATTTTTATGTTGTTTTTCCCGGCGCTTGTTAAAACTACTGGGAAATTACTTTTGACCCCCCAAAGTACCAACTAGATTCACTTTCCTATCAGAAAAGCTACTGTTGAAGAAAATCCAAGCACTTTTACTGTCCTAAAACGTGATGACAGACACAAAAAAAAATTTAAAAAAAAATAAAAAACACACATCATTGTAAAATCAATGCATTCATCGTTTCACTCAGAATCTAAAACACACATCATTGTTAAATTTGTATAAATACAGTTCCCACGTGATTTTTTCGATTTTTTTTTCCCCCCAAAATGTGTGTTTTAAAGCACTGAATACATAAGTCTTATTCAAAACTTCTCGAAAATTTATATTTTGGAAGTAATATCTTTCCAAAGTTTACGTTTTTACGTATTTACGCATGCTCTTTGCTTTCCTACGTTTTCGTATTGGATTGTCACCTCTTATTAATTATGTTATTTTATCTTGTTATAATATTATCTAAAGTAGTTTTGATGAAAAATGTAGATTAATATATCTGTGACCAATGTGTCCTACACTCCTACATGAGGTGGTTTTGCTTAACAAGTCGTGGAATATTTTCGATTTGTGGAGCGGAGCGATAGCGCCGAGGAGCGTATAGAGACGAGTGCCGGTACACGCGTGGTCACTGCCGAGGGATATTGTGTAAATTTTGGTTTTAATTTACTATAGTTTTTAAACAGCAAATACGTTAATTAAAATTTATTTGCATATTTCCATCTACATATTATAAAAAACATACAATTTTAAAAAAAACCAAAAAAATTGTTCGATGTTTTTATCGAGGATATTACATATTTTTGAAAAATTTACTATTTCATAGTTTTTTTTGGTATAACTTTTTAAGTAAAAAAATGAGAGAATTTTTGATTTAGACTTGTATTCAGTGCTTCAAAACACACATTTGGGGAAAAAAATAATCGAAAAAATCGCATGTGAACTAAACTGCATTTGTTTCGTAAAATCAATACATGTATTGATTCTTCGTTTCACTCAGAATTTAAAAATGATTTTGTAGTTAAAAATTTATAAAATGTTCGGTTTTTATAGCTAAGGATCTGTAAGCAAAAAATATAAAAACCCAGTTTTTTTATAGTTATTTTATGTTCATATTTGGGACATACCAAGAATAACAATATTAGTTATTTTGTTGTAATTGTATAATATTAATTTAACTTATCAGCTACCGTATTAATAATAAGTAATAAGAAAAAACTAATAACAAATAATACAATACAGTGGCGTAGCCAGGGATTTTTTATGGGGGGGGCTAAGTATACAAATACAATGTGTTTTTTATTTACGCTTTTAATTTTTTTATTAATCTTGATAAAATTCTAAGGTCAACATCGGTCAATTGGGGGGGGCTATAGCCCCTTTAGCCACCCCCCTGGCTACGCCACTGATACAATATAAAATATCCTCACTGATGATCCGTCTCTACTCGGAATCGTTTTTCGTATACAAGAAAATTGAAATTTAATCATTTAATCATTGAATTTAAATGTAATAACACAGATTATAATATGAAAACTATATTATCATAATATACCTAGTCTGTAGAAATAGTAATTTTATTGGAACAATTCTAGTTTAGCAACCTATCGATTTTTAATGTTTTTTTTTTCCAAAATATGTGTCTTGGGGTTCTTAATAAGAATGTAAAAAAAAAAGGTCGGACGGCCTTAGTTTTGAAGTTATCGGTGAAAAACTTCAAAAAACAGATGTTTTTCAAAATGCGAATTTTTTTCAAAAAAATGCTTAGAATTGATTTTTTTGACTGTTTATTTTACCAAAATATGTGGTTTTTGACGCACAATACATTGGTGTGATCAGAACTTACCTCGCGTACTTACTTTTAAAGTTTTTGCACGTAAACGATGAAAAACAGCATTTTCAAAATTAATCCAAAATTTCTTTGAACACTTGTTTACAATCAATATTTTTAATATTTTTTTTTTACTACATACAGTTCCAGATGAAAAAGTTTTTTGTGAAGTCAGAACTAGTTTATCTCACTTAGTTTTAGACTTACGAGACATTAAAGGTTTCCTAATTTATGACGTTTCGCAAAAATCTAATACAGGTAAATAGGTAGGTACAATTTTGCCAAAATAGCATCATTAAAAGCAGGAAACACAAACCCATATTTAATTGATAATTAGATAAAATATAAATAAGTATAATATACAATTATAATATTATATTATTAGACAAGATAAAATAATCATATTAACTATACTTAAATAGAAATGTATAAATAATTTTCAAAAATAACCGTTTCTTTATATATCTGTAGTCGTAGATAGCCTACATAGGCTCTAATTTTTAAGAACAATGCACTTAAAATTGTCTCTCAGTGTGATGTTTCAGTTTTATAAATTTTAAATTTTGAATAGGTACCTACAATGCGCGTGTTATGGAGAGTGACTACTTGGGTGTTTCGGCACTCGTCGCTTCACTCCGCAAATCAAAAATATCCATCGACTTGCTCTGCAAAACCACCTCAAGTAGGTAACAGGGTCAATAAGAATGTTAATGGGTGAAAAATGAAAATTGAAACTCAACATTTTACGCGTGGTAAAGGGCAGGCACTACGTGTGTTTCGGCACTCGTCGCTACGCTCCTCGGCGCCGTCGCTTCGCTCTGCAAACCGAAAATATCCCTCGACTTGCTATGCAAAACCACAAAACTTCAAAACTAAGTCCGTCCGACCTTTTTTTTTTTTACATTCTTATTAAGCACCCCAAGACACACATTTTGGAAAAAAAAAAACCTTAAAAATCGATAGGTTGTTAAACTTAAATTATGCCATTTTATTTTATTAAATTATTTTTATTTTAATAAAAACAGAAATATTTATATATGAACAATACATCGAATATTTGGCGATAATCGATTAATTATTAGTTATTATATTGATATCGATTGTTATAGTATTGTGCACAGATTTCTAAATAGTTGTAGACCAGCGACCAATATTATTGAGGTAATGATGACCTGGTGAGTAGTGGTGTTGCATAGGCGCATAGCGAGTCGAGGGATATTTTCATTTTTTTTTGTCCGAGCTCAGCGCACCGAGCGAGTGGTCACCCGGGTATCACTGGCGAGCATCACTGTAAATAATTTAGGTTAGATAGTATCTATTCTAAAACCTTGGTATGTCTTAATTTCAGTTGAGTGTGTGGTCAGGTGTTCGTGGGCCGTGGTCTTACTTTTTGCTTCGCTTCGCCTTCCACGTTGGACTTGAAAATAACCACTGCGAATCGAAGTTTCTTATACGCACGGATACTCATCCTAGCCCCTAGGTTTACCGTTATTATATTTTAGTATTTTTAGTTATGGAGTCAATCAACAAAAACGTGAGTTCTGGCTTTTATTTTTTCTGAAGTGATAATTCATTTGGGTTATTAAAATTGTCTATACCTTCTTTTATATTAAATTGTTGTACTCAGTTTAATAATGCACATTTGGATGACAAAAACTCAAATTATCCAACTGCAGACACTCAAAGCAACACTTATAGTGAAGAAGACAAAGAACTGCCGGCTTGTGAAAGATCATTATTGCAGAAAATTGTGCGTACGGGTCTCATAACGTCTAAACATGACATTGAAATTCAAAGACGTGACCCTAAATCACCGTTATTTTCAATCAAATCATTTGAGTTACTTAAACTGTAAGGTTCCTAAATTGAACTACAGTAGAAACTCGTTTATATACTATGACGGTTAACAAAAAAATCAGCAATAAACACATACATTTTACAATGTGTGTACATATTTTCATACAAACATAGGTACCTACATACTATACAAAATAATTTATCATCCTCTTTTGTTTCTTCAAGGCTTAAGCTTTTTAAGCTCCGTATTTTACGGAACCTGCTTTGCATATGCTGTTTTTTTGGACAGTGATGGTTAATCGAGTTTCTACTGTATTTTAATATAATTACATTAGAAATATTTATCATGTATGCCATTGTTGAGTTGTTTTTGTTTTCAATATTTTTTAGCCATCCACATTTGCTTAAAGGAGTTTATGAAATGGGTTATAATGCACCATCAAAGATACAAGAAACTGCATTGCCTTTACTCTTGGCCAATCCGTAAGTCCATTCTTATACATTTTGCACACAGCATTAAACTCAAATAATCAAACTACTCTGATACAACTAAACTGTCTTTGTATCAATATTTTAATCAAAATATAACTTAATTGATATTATAGTATATTAATATCTAACTATTAACTAATAAATATTTTTAGTGGCATAAATCTAGTTTAGGGGCCAAGCGATTTTTTCAATTTTTTTTATGGAAACTTATGTATCTCATCGAGTTAAGAACGTTGGTGCAATCAGAATTTGTCGCTCTCGTTTAGTTCCGAAGTTATGGCCTACCAAAGTTTTCGATTTTACGTTTATACGCATGCGCACAACACTACTATAATGACTCGCGGAGAACCATTTTTGTTATTTTTTGGTACATACGTATTCGGTATACCTTCTTTTTTTGAAACTTATGTAGTTATGTATTATGTACCCTGTGACATACTTGAGGTGGTGTTACATAGCAAGTCGGGGGATATTTTCGATTTGCGCCGAGGAGCGTAGCGACGAGTGCCGACACACGCGTAATGACTGCTCATATACTACGACATAACTTTTCCTGTAACCTACTTAAGGTGGTGTTAATGACTTACGCGTAATGACTTTGAATTGCCATAACTTTTGAACGGTAAGTTTCCGGAAATTTGTCCGAGCGCAGCGCAGCGAGCGACTGGCCACGCTTGCAGATAATATACATCAGTTATAATTTGAAAAATACGTAAGATAAGATGAAAATTATTAAGTGTTTATAAAATATACGTAGAAAAACCCATGTATTAATCGGGATACGTAGATAAAAGTTAGGTAAGTCTATACGCGCCTGCTGAAAGGGTAGGTAAATAACAAAAATGGTCCTCCGCGCGTCATTATAGTAGTGTTGCGCGCATGCGTATAAACGTAAAATCGAAAACTTTGGAAGGCCATAACTTCGGAACTAAATGAGAGCGACAAATTCTGATTGCACCATCGTTCTTAACTCGATGAGATACTTAAGTTTCCATAAAAAAAATTGAAAAAATCGCTTGGCCCCTAAACTAGATTTGTTCCTTTTTAGTTTTAGTTATACACAGAGACTAAAATTTTTAACATATTGCATATTATAGGCCTCAAAATTTGATTGCACAATCACAGTCAGGTACTGGAAAAACTGCAGCTTTTGTTCTGGCTATGTTGAGTAGAGTTGATCCGGAATTTCAGTATCCACAGGTAATTTTGGCCAGAATATTTTGCAAATAGTGTATTTAGTCATTTAATTCTTTCTAAATGTTCTTGTAGGTAGTTTGTTTATCCCCGACTTATGAATTAGCTATTCAAACGGGGGAAGTTGCAGCAAAAATGTCCACCTACTGTCCAAACATTAGGTTAAGGTATGCAGTTCGTGGTGAAGATGGTTTGTATTTTTTATATAGTTTCTCAGTTGTTAAGACATCACTACATATATTATTAATTTTTAGTTGAAAAAGGTTCCAAAATAGAGGAACAGATCATTGTGGGTACACCAGGAAAAGTTTTGGATTGGGCAACTAAGTATAAATTTTTTGACCCAAAAAATATTAAAGTATTTGTGTTGGACGAAGCTGATATTATGGTTGACACCCAAGGTCATCAAGATCAAAGTTTCCGCATTAGAAAGTAAAATTTCTTCTAATCAACATTTTTTTTTTTTTTAAATTTTAATTTCTTATTAAGGTTACTACCAGAAACATGTCAAATGATGTTTTTTTCCGCAACATATACAGAAGATGTTATGAGGTTTGCCAATGCTATTGCACCTATGTCAGTCATCATAAGATTAAAACGTGAAGAAGAAACGTTAGATAATATCAGACAATATTATGTTAACTGCAACAATAAAGAAGATAAATATAATGCATTAGTTAATATTTATGGAGGAGTAACTATTGGACAAGCTATGATTTTTTGTCAGGTAATTAAAGCAAAATATAAGTATATTTAATATAAGTTAATAACTGTTCTTCGTTGTGCATTGGTGACTGTTGTATCTAAGCATTTATTTATTGATTGTAAAGGAAAATTGATTAATTTTAAATTATTAAGAATTTAAATTTGATTATTTCTTACTTCTTTCTTGAATGAATTATTAATCAAAAATATTTTGTTTTGTGTTTTTTAAATATTTCATTCCTTTTCTTAAAATCTACCTAATCACTACTGTTCTTATATAAAACAATAAAGTAAGTTACATATTATGTCACCTCCAGAGTTAAATAATATATTGATGATTGCAAACGGACAATTAATTCAACCAAAATGTACCAATCTTCTGTCGACCTAACGGGATTAGACTTCTGGAAACTGATTTCAATTGTTAATATGTCTACTTGAGATCGTTCAGATCACTTTTTTTTTACATTTTGTCCTCAACTCCAATAAATTTTGTTTGAATATTTAAAATTTACAACAATTTAAATGTTGATTATCCAAAAATTAAATTAAATATCTTAAAATGTGGCCTAATCAATCCCTAGTAGACATATTAATAAATTCAAATCAGCTTTCAGAAGTCTTATCGCATTATCAGGTCCATTTGTAGGACTAACAAGAAGTACATACAAATCAGCATACGTTGTTTACCGTTCACTTGTGCAGGTCCGAGGCCGTGACTTGTACTTGCACTTGTGGGAGCACGGGCGGTTTGAGTTTGAGAAATTTTTTATAAAATGCAATGTGTTTGGCGACCTTTTTTTAATAATATCCTGGCTGTATTTTATCAATCCATTTTTCCTCTCATTTTGACAGACTTGGGAATGTCCATGAACATCCACGGGTATGAATGTATATTTTTTGTTTGTCTGATTAAAATTATTTAATATATATTAATATATATTTCATTGATATAAAATTCCCTGTAGATTTTATATGATATTTTTATTTTAATCTTTACAAATTTACAATTTTATCTTTTATGTATCATGTTTGCTCAAACACATCATAAGAAACTCGCCCAAACACATTACTTTTATCATGTGGGTAAAAAAGTAATTCACTCAAATGCATGACACCCGGGGCACTCCGCTACTTCTTTTATGCAGTCACAACACTAATGATCACTTATTACGCACACATTTACAAGAAGCGCATGCATACAATTTGAAAATTGCCTATTTTGAACTCCTTAAAAACTGTCCAGTTGCAATTCTTAATAAATCCTTTTATTTTGAACATAAACATGCCTTTTGGCTATGTGTTTATCTAAATATAACATTTACTGTAAGATGTTTTTATGTTATCACTTAATATGGTAAAATAATTTTTACTATGACAAACTTGTAAATATTGTATAATGCTAAACAAAACTATTTTTGAAATATCATGTTATTCAAAAAAAAATGTTATGATCCAATATCTCCTAACATGGGATATTTAATATTTGTTTGTTATCATAATTTTACGGGTACCTATTCGATTAAGTCACTAGGTAACATTTTTTTTTCAAAATCAAGGTTTTTATTTAACTTTGAATTTTGCATGTTTATCCGTCATGTTTCTCAACAACGGCTAAATGTACAGGGATAAACTTGGTATATTCCAAACCTGGTTGATCTCTAGGTTAGCATAACAAACAGCTTTCTTTAAAATTTGATTTGGTTGACCTTCAAAAGACAACCTTGACTTGATACCTTTATAAGTTATAATTATTGATAAAACGTATTTATATATATATATATATTATATATAAGGTAACTATTGATTATTTCACTATCGTTTTTGCGTGGTTCTAGTTTTCCTATACGCCATCACCGATATATCCAAGCACTTTGATTGGAAGGATCAGTAAATGCTGCACTTTCTACCAATAATAATTCTGTAATGTTGGTGGATTCTTCATCTTTTCCTGCAGCACTGAAAAGTTTTGATCGATAATGCCATGCAGAATAATTTTAAAAATTTGACTCAATCATTTCCATAGTAAATTTCAATGAGTTTTAATTTTGTTCCTGACACTTGGATGCAACAATTTGTCAGTTATCCCAGTAATGAAAATTTCTTTCATCTATTTTCAAATACTTTGAACATAATTCAAATTCTTTGTTCCTATACAGACTTTGATCTACACAATCTAGTAGCCAATTTCGGTGATACCATGCTGAATTTTGGATTTACTCATAAACATTTTTCAGTTAAATAAAGTTCATCATTAATTATTTCTTCAGATGGTTTCAGATGTTATAATATTTTTTTTCTATAATTCCATATGGTAATGATATCAGGATTGGATCGTAATAGTCTTTCGGACGATTTCAATGCTAAAACATTATATTCATTACGAGATCATTGATAGTATTTTGATATAATTGAAGTTTTTTTTCCTTTTCTCGATCTGCAGCGGCTTTTCTTGCTTCAGTTGTACATACTTTTAGTCTGTTATGCATAATATTATATGTACACCATATTATATTCATATGTTATTCTCATATTATAATAATACCTAACAACAATAAATTATATGTGTTAAATTTACTTAATTTTAATTTTGAAAATGTTTGATGTGATCATTATTAAAATATACACTTAAGTTACATAACATAAATTGGTAACACAACATAACATTTTTTACAATAGGTAACATCTAATGAAGTATGTAAACCTAATGTAGATTTTGTTTACTGAGTTTAGTCTCCTTAATTCTAATCTTCATATATACACTGTCAAAAGTATTATTTGTATTATAGGTTACTATTAAATCGAGCCTTCTTTAAATAATTTAATATGCCATATAATGTGTTGCCTATATAAATGGTAGCCGTCTAACCAGGCCCGTCGCTAGGGTACAAGTAAGTTATGCACTGCTTTAGAGCGGCTTGAATTTTTTTAAAGAAATTGAAGCAGCAAAATGAAATATAATTTTTTGCTTTAGAAAGGGCGGAATATATCTAACGATAGGCCTGTCTTACCTAGATAACATTTTTTTATTAATGTTATGGTAAAATCAGATGAATGGCGCCTCAGCTATTTTTCTAAGCACGAATTATGTTGTAAACATAACCATTTTATATACTATATAAATAAGATATACATTTATATCTTATGTAAAAAAATATTATGGTATGACAGTTAATTATTTGTAATATTTGTTTATATTATTTAATAACATTTTGTTTTTATTTTAGACAAAAAAAATGGCTTTATGGTTAGTTAGTCAAATGGTAGAACAAGGACATGCTGTAGCTTTATTATCTGGTGAACTCACCGTCCAACAAAGAATATCTGTTTTGGACCGTTTCCGCGAAGGAAAAGAAAAAGTTCTGGTTACTACAAACGTATTGTCTAGAGGTAATATGCATCATTATTTTGTTCTTGTTTATTTTAAACTTCTGTTTTATTATTTTAGGTATTGATATTGAGCAAGTCACAATTGTTATTAATTTTGATTTGCCTATGACAGTCACTCGCGATCCTGATTATGATACATATTTACACAGAATAGGACGTACTGGTCGTTTTGGTAAAAAAGGTATTGCTATTAACCTTGTAACTGGTAGTTCGGATCATTTTATATTGAAACAAATTGAAGAACATTTTAGTAAACCTATTGAATGTTTGAATACTGACAATGCAGATGACATGGAAAAATTGGGAGCCGAAGATTGATTTGTTATAATTATCTATAATATTTTTTTCTTTTTTTATCTTGAAGTTGTATTACAGATTATGAATCATCAAAACATATATTAAGAAAGTGATGTTAATTTAATACATTTTTACTTTTTACCTTAAATTAAATTCAGATTCAAAATCTTTTCTGAACAAAAGTTGTTTTTATACTAATTTATAAATATAAATAAAATAATTTATCATTATAAGTGAAAACATTTCTATATTGAATACATTAGTATTTTTATTTATAAGTTAAAAGTGGTTTTGGGGCATATAATTACATTTTCACAATTTGTCAACATTATTTTGATAAAATAAATAAATTAAAATTATTTTAATTTGGATAAACTAATGATATAATATTTAAATCAAATGCTTACAGTTCCAAAAAATAATATTTACTTGATTATATTATTTATAGATAATTTTCATACCATTGTTTGCTTAAATTAAGTTAATTAAGTTAAATTAATTTTTTATTTTATTAAGTATTAGAAATTAGAATTAACTAATTAAGCTCAAGTTAATATGAGTACAATTAATTTAAAAATTGAATTATTTAATTTTAATATCCCTTTCAATTTTTTTTAATAATGCCATAAGAAACAATATGTCATATTTTTTACAAAAAAGATCCTTAGAATCTCTGTTATGTACTAGTGTACATTATCACTCCTTTAATTTGTTATACATATTGTGTTGTGACTTGTGTTCCATCCCACGTGGTTCCAGTTCAATTGTTGTAGAATTTGGGTTCTGCTTGAGGAAATAATCAATCAATAAAGCATTTTTATAAACGTTGTGTTAGTAAAAGAAAATTAATCACTGTAAGTCTTGTGATTGACTGCTGGCTTGACTCCATGCATGTTATTGACACATTAGAAAATATGTCTGCTACGGGTGTCGTGTATAAAATAAAATTGCTTACATGCTAAATTATTATAATTTAATGAGGCGTTTCTAACAATGCTAAGATAGGTTTGGGTTGAATTTTTTGCAAAAAGTACCATAATATTATTTTAAAATTCAGTTTTATTTACATAGGTGACCTCCATTGTGTATTTCCACTTTCTGATCATAATTCATAACACTGAATGAAATGTAAATATTTAGTACCTGTTGGCAAGCCTGGACAAGTTAATGATAATTTTTTACTAAGTTAAGTTAAGTGAATGAAAAACATTTTAAAAAGTTAACAGTTAACCTAATTTTTTTTTTTATAATATCTATATAAATTCTTAGTAATATGGTTTAAAATAATAAAAATCATAAATATTATTGAACACAGGAAATAGCCAATAGCTTTTCTATACATAGGTACTGAATTAGTAGAATTATGTAGTTGGTACAAAAGCATACAAAATTGAAAATACCGAAACAAATACAATATTTTGATTTATTAATACAAATAAGTACTATACATATAACACAGACCAAGTCTCCAGTTACTGTAGAATGAATGTATTGAGAGAATTAAAAACTAAAAATTCTATAATTTAATTGAAAAAAAAAAAACGTATTTCACTGGACTTAGTTACACAAAAACTGACGGTATTGTAAATCTTGCATGCTGAGAGAGCCGAGAACGAAAAGTAAACCCATGATTATTTTGTCTACTGACAATATTTGAATATTTACTTTTTAAATATAAATATAGAAGAGCATAACCCAATTGGTTATTAGTATTTATTAATTATTATTATTACAATATGCCCGTATGCTGCAGTATGGTATGGTACTATGGTATATCTTTATATAAACCATACACCTATATGGCTATATGTTATAATATATTAATATAATTGGCTATTGCTATATCTATATGTATTTAATTAAGTTATTTTTCTTGAAGAATTATGGTTAATGGAACAAGAAATTAATTTAACTATATTTGTAACTCCCTATTCGGCCTATTCTAGTAAATGGTTATGTGATATCAATAATTTTTATTTTTATTATTTAATTATTTATAAATTAACTTGAATTTGATTAAAAGTACCACGTGATTTATTAAGTTTATATCGATGAAAATAAGTTAAGTTAATAAAAATTAAATTTGGACCTTGAGCTTGACGACCGGAGCCGGTGGGCATAAGGAGCTTTCTATATAGAGCGTTGGATGGGGTATGCGCAAAAATTCAGAATTTGAAACTGCCTTATCATATGACTTAAAAACGAAGTCTGGCTATCCAATTTTGATTACACCGTCATTCTCAACTCGTTGAAGTACATAGGTTGCAAAAAAAAAAAATCAATATTCCTAATACGTGCAGTAAACTAGTGACGCGCGAATGCTCAAGAATCATAAAATAGTGAACTTCATTAGGCCATAACTTCGAAACTAAGTCCGACCGACAAATTCTGATTGCACCATTGATCTTAAATTGTTAATATGAGTAAGTTCCAAAAAAAAAATCGAAAAATTTGCATGGGGTGGTAAAGTGCATTTGTTCCCGCTCGCCGAAGCTCTTTTCCACACTCCAAGATGCCTGGTCGTTGCAACGACAATAGGCGACCAACGCCGATGCTAGCGACTTCTGACCGTAGTCACTAGTCGCGTCCTGCTATGGGTGGATGACGCGAGGGCCGAGGGGATGCGCAAAACGAACCGATTTTCGTCAGACCGCGTTGTTTTCTCTCGGCGAACAGAGTATAGGTAGGTGAGTTAATACTACCACTTAATAATCTATCCAAGAGCTTAATGCTCGAACGTAGGGGTGCTCAGACTTTTGGTTCTCGGGGTGCACACTAAAAATTAGGGGCCACAATAATTTTGAAAATAATTATATGTAGATACAGACAAATGTTTTAAAGGTACCTATCAAATGCACTAAAAATATTTATTTTATTATTCATTCTAATAAATATTACATAATAATTATAACAATATATAGATATACAATCTTATAATGATAATCGACGTTTAAAAGGAACAACATTTTTGAATTCGTCAATAATTTCATTAATTTAATTTACACTTAATTAATAATTAGGGCCCTTGTCGGTTTTGGTGAAGAGCCCGAGGGTGCCCAGGCACCCCCGGCACCTCCTGTGCGCACTCCTATGTGCTCGAAATATATTTCTTTCCGCCAAGGAAACCGAACCAAGGTGCAATGCAACAGGTTCATAGTTATGGGGTTCACAAGGGTTATTATATTTAAAGATGGCATACCTCAAACATTATTTTTCGTTGAACCCTTTCCAACTTCAAGGAGTTACTGATAGAGTGAGGATCACAAATGATGGCACCATACTCAACAATAGGACGAACAAGAGAAAAAGCTTAACCGATATCTAAATAATTTTAAGACAAAACCAAAGGTTTTAAAAGCCTTATAACAAATATGTTTGATGTAGGGCCCCGGATCAAGATAACTATTTACTAGGTAGTTAGATATACCTACTAAGAATAAATCCTAGATCTGTAATAAATAGCCATTACAACATGAAAGAAGAGTAATTCCGAAATGATACGAATATAAAACAGGGGACTAAATCTTGACAAAAGTCATGGTTTTTCACTTAAAAACATTGAGGGATACCCTTAGTAAATTGAACCATTTAGTGAAACGGTGAAAATCACTCCAAAGAAGCGCGAGATACGAGTGTAGAGTTCTGAGTTGGATGTTATCAGCAAGACATAAAATACGGCTGTGGAAATAAGGAACACTTGAGACACTATATTCATAAATTATAGAGAGGCCAGCAGCGGCAAAAGATATACTCCTTGAAGAGCACTAGACGTTGAAAGATAAACATTCGATTTCACTCCAAACAATTTGACCCATTGATAACGGTAACAGAGGTAAGACTAAAACCACGACAAAGATAGGTTCACCAATACCAATTGCATTGAGGAACTGGAGAAGGGCATTGTGATTAACTGAATCAAATGGCTTATAAAAATCCATATTTATAACGTATAAATGGGATTTCAAATTAAAAAAATATATTAAACTTGATAGGATAGTCAATCCGTCCAATCTTGTCTTCTTACAATCATATATTCAGTTTTCTGTTCATTGATGTGTAATCCTACTTTATGGGCTGCGTCATAAAACCTTTTGAATAGCTGTTGTATCCCATATTAAGACTATTCCTTCAAAACTACATCATCTGCGTATGCCAATAAGCAAATAGCCTTATCCTGGAGTTTTATTTCCTCGATAGGTTGAATTCTCATTTCTCTTATTACTTTTTATAAAACTAAATTAAACAATACATGTGAATATGTGATATCGAATCATCTTGTCTTAGGCCGGATTTTACTATAACTGGATCATGCTTCCGACTTTAACTATGGTCTCCATGATGCTGATTGAGATTTGAGACTAATTTGATCAATTTCTAGGGGAAATCAAACGCTTTCAAGATATTTTAATATTTATGAGGCCTTCTCTATGAATACTATCCTATGCTTTATTGAAGTCAACGAATAACGTATGTATTGTATCGAATTCCCATGTTTTTAAATTTACCTGTTTAATAATGAATATTTGGTCCATCGTTGATCTTTTCGTCCTAAAACCACCTTGATACTCTCCAATTATTTGTTCTGCTTTTTCCTTTATTCTAGTTAGGATACAGTTTAAGAAGACTACACTCCACACTCAATAGAGCTATCCCTCTATAATTGTTACGGTCTCGCTTATCGCCCATTTGTTGTGTATTGGACAGATGAGAGAAGTTTTCCAATCTTCTTGGAGTTCTTCTGTTATCCATTCTTTTTTTATCACTTGCCAGACCCACTGTGTCATAACTTCTCCCCCTTTTTTTAAGCAGTTCAGCTTGTAAGCCATCTATACGTATTGCCACAGCGTTTACAGCTGGACCAATTAATATTAATGAGGCAATGAATTGTATGCATGCGGATATCTAAATGAAAACAGGTGATGAGTGAGAAAATAGACTCGTTACATAAAAACAACACATGTACGATGGACTTTGGTATCAAGCCAGTGGGAGCAAATATTATTTAACGGAATTTTTATATGGTAGGTAATCTAAAAGAAGATATGGAATAATTGCGGTTTAGCTACCACGCAATTTCTTTGACTTTTTTTTTTGGATACATTTATTTTCATAGATAATATTATCTTTGTTTATTTCAAATAGTTAAGAACGATGGTGCAAAAAAAAATTGAGCAAATCACTACTTTACTGCCACTAATTTTGAATTATTATTTAAATATTTTAACAAGTTAAGAACCGGCTCCGGCTCCAATCACCAGATTCGATGGCCAGTTAAAGTCAAGGTTATAAGATTATAGTAGTAAGTAACATAAGTTATAAGTATTTAGTGACTCCCTTCTCAATTTTTGTTTTGCACCTGGTTCTTAACTGTTGAAAATTTGAAATGCATATTGACCATTTTCTGTTTCAAAAAAAAATTAAAAATAAAATCGCATAATATGATAGCTAAAGTGCAATTATATCTGGCTTTTTAAACCACATTAGTTCCACATAATATTAAAGATATCATAGTATCTATATTCATATTTTAAAACCAATTTAATCACATATCAGGTGATAGTATTAAAACTTAGATAACTGATATTGGAATTTCTTAATAATGTACTAAATTTACAATATAGGTATTATTGTTTTATTATACTATAATTTATATTGAATTACTTCATTTTATTCTACCTATTGTGTTACTTAAAATAATACTGAAATACAACTTACTATGGTGAACATGAGGAAAATATTTAAAAAAATGGGTAAAATATTATTAATAACAAATAAACATTTTTCTCTTTGTTACGTTATTATTTTAAAAATTGTTTCAGCTGAAATAAACCTGGACAAAGGTGGTCGACATATGGAAGTTGAAGGTAAAGAAAATCGTTCTGTATTTATAAGCAACTTGGATTTTGCTGTGACTGAATTGGAAGTGAAAGATGCATTGTCTTCAGTTGGTCACTGTGAAGTGTTATTAGTTAGAGATTTCAAAGGCCGGTCTAAAGGATTTGGTTATGTGCTTTTTGAAAAGCCTGTAAGTATGAATAATTATTGTTAATTATTATTATTAATCTATTAATGATTTGCAGGAAATGGTTGCAGAAGCATTGAAAAAAGATCGTGAATCTGTAAATAATCGACCAATGTTTGTGTCTAAATGTCAACCTGATAAACAAAGTAGATCGTCGGGATTACGATTTCCTACTGAACTAGAAAAAAACAAATTGTTTGTTAAAGGTAAACATTTTGTTTATTTTTATAAAATTCATAAGAACTTATACATTAATGTAATTCAACTAAATAGAAAGGTGGATGGTTTTTAGTTTTCTATGAGTAAATTATGTAGAGACAAATAATAATTAATGTTAAGTATTGCTTGTTTAATGTTTAAAAACATGCAATTTAAAAAATATGTAATGGGATCATTTATTTATCTACAAATTTTTTTTTTTTAAATGTCATTGTTTTAACGATTATAAATCATATTCTTCTGGACTAGAATAATACATTTATCAAATTAACAATGGTTACTAAAGTCATGACAATGTCAAAGATTGTCTAATATAGTACCCTTATATACTATAGGTACCTATAATTCAACACAATACTAAATATTTATTTAATTATTTAACAGTTGTGTTAATCTAAGATAAATTATTAGTTTTTTTTTATTATTGCTTATGACTTACTAATTATTAGTTAATAATTTTAACCTAACAATATAATTGTATTAAAATAAAAATCCTAAAAAATTATTCTTAATATGTTATTTGTTGTGAAAAATTGAAATAACTTATGTGTCATGTAATTCATTATCATTGCATTTAATTATCTATAGAAGATTTATTGTTCATAGGTTTACCATCGACTTGTACAAAAACTGATATAGAAAATATTTTTAAGCCATATGGAGCTTTAAAAGATGTTCGCGTTGTGACATTTAGAAATGGTTATTCAAAAGGATTAGCTTATGTAGATTTTGAAGATGAGGTAAAATAATTTTAAGTATAATAATTCTATATAACCTTATATTTAATTTTATATTTGATAAGGTATCAGCTGCTCAAGCATTGTTAAAAACAGACAACACAGTTATTAAAGATAGAACTATATCAGTAGCATTAAGTCAGCCACCAGAACGTAGAGATCCTTCAGAAATTAAATCCTACCCTCCTGTTGTTAAATTTAAATCACAAGCTCCACCTCTATTATTAGGGCGGTAAGTTATTTTTTATTTTATTCAATAATATTTTTTTATAAGTGTATTTTTTTTTTTTTTTAGTCGCACAAAACTATCTTTTACACCAAGTGTATTGCAGAAAAAGTCTGCACAAACTGCACCAACATCTGCTGATGATATAACTCCACTAAATAATGAAGACTTCAGAAAAATGTTACTTGGTAGCAAGTAATTAGCTAATGAATATTACATTTGTTTTCAATAGAAAAATAATACTTTCTTTTATTTTTATGTTATCTTTGTATAAATTAAAAATATTTTATTTTAATATTATTTCTTATCAATATACTTAATAAAAAAATAACTTTCTTCTATAAAACCAAATTAATTTTATAATAGACTTGATTGTGGGTATTTTCCATTGATTGTTTGCTTATGTTAATTTATCTCTTTTCTTTAGTCATTACATAAAAAACAAGAGTTATTACAAATAATTCATCATACAAGCAATGTATAATAACATTTGGTTTTTTAATTAATAAACTGGCAATTATATAGGTATTCTTTAAAATCAAAATGTTTATTGACATGATAATTTAACACTTAGTATTTAGGTACTACATTTAACATCAGATGCATTTTTAAAATAATTATTACAATCTTAACACCTTACCTAGCCAATTATTATGAACATCTACTTTTTAAATCACTATATTAATAGTTTCATAAATAAAATCAAGTTTTAAAAAAAAACTCATAATAACCATGTCTTCTTTTGACACATATAGTCTTAGTTATATCATAATATATTAAATATATATACAGATGTTAATTTAGTAAATTTATAAACTATCACTTTAATTTAAGTGTAAGCACTAAATTGTAAAATGTAAAAAAATAATAATAAAAGTTTTTTTTACAGCTTATAAATTATGACTTATAATTGAATACTCTTATACTAGATTGTCGGGTACACCTTTGAAGCCTATTGTGGTCTTCTTAACCCTAGGCGGTGGTATAGGCTGTTCATTTTTACTTGCTTTCTTTTCTTCATTGACACTTTTTCGCATACAAGAATAAGATGATTCAGCCATTCTTCTCCACCATGATTTTATTGTGTCTCCAGCATGATAGAAGTACCAATACACAAACATGAATACCATCAAAATAAAGCCCAATGACAATAATATAATAGATATGATAAATATGGCCAAGCTGAATCCTGTAGATTGTGGCTTATGATGTTCAATCGTATCTGGTATTTCGTTGGTGTCCACAGATTCGGTGACACTGGTAGTAGACGTTGTTATTGTTATCGGTGTTGGGTATGGTGATGTATCGACTGTGCCATCTCTGTCTGACACCGATATGTCAGCGCATGCCCGGAACTCCTCTTGCGCCCCGCAGCCCACCGCACTGGTGCCGTTACCACACTCACCCCAGTTGTTGCCCGCAATGTACTTCCACTGCAAAACGCACTGACTACACGTTAACCCATCAGGGAGCTGGTACCTCATTTCGTACACCTTGTTCTCGGTGCCTGGATAGAATCGAGTTTCGTGGAATGCTTCAATGGTGTCCTTGGTCTTAACCCTTCGCAAAATGTACTTGTCCAGACACGATTGGCTGGCCACCTGCTTGGGTGCATTGTTTGGACACAGTCTGAACTCAAAGTACCCACGGTGGTTGGCCGTCAGCTCGACGCGCACAATTACTGGCTGTCCGATTTTGTAACGGCGCACGATCACTCCCTGGCCGTACTTTCCGCCAGCTTCATGTTGTCTCGGCTGCAGAAAAACAAAACCATTATAAATTGTCTCATTTTTATGGATTTGGGACATTTTTCTCCCGTATTCGTGGACTTGCCCCTTCCCCAACCTTTCTTTAAATAATGATGGTTTTAAACTCAAACATAATATACCTATTTCTTAGGTAGGTATATAAAATATAAAATATGTAATATTATACTACTATGCTGGTTTATTGAACTATCGTAAATTCAATTGAGCCTACTTTAAACCTAAAAACAATAATAAATGATTTCTAAAAACTTTTTCAAATATTTCTCTATCATACAATAGATGCACAATAGTATATTGAAATCTTATGGTGATTTACGATTTTTTCTGAAATTAATTTTAAATATAAACTAAATTTTAAAGTAGATAGGCACCTAACAATATTTTACACATTTGGGCATTTGGAAATACAAATCCATAGGCCATAGGTATACCTAATACCTATTACCTACACGTATGATATTTAGAGTTCAATCGATAGAATATCGTACTTATGTCTTATGGTACTTATTTTTTATTTGGATATCATCAATAAACTTTAATACTTTATATAATGTGTTATCTACCTCTACATACCAACATAGTGTTGCTAATATAATAGATATCTAACTTCAGTAATGGAGCAATGCAATTCTAAAACATGTTTTTTATTAAAGTTCAACTAGTTTATGAATATTACTAATGTCTCATGTGTAACTGACACGTTATGTTCTAAGTTCATGAAATTGATATCTGTTTTGCGAAAAACTTGAATATAGTATTCCCTAGTGTATTACACTATATTGATGGGATACATTATCTCTAAATCTATAATGTATATTTTAATTTATAAAACACAATATTGTATAGTGTATACTGTATAGTACAAAACTTATTAACGTAAGGACCGTAAGGTGAACCATTTTCCTCCAAAAATAATATATTATTTTTCACCACTGTCATAGGCGCAATTTCAACTTTTGACTTGAGGGGGGGGGGGGCTGAATATATTTAAGGCAAGCAGACCATTGCAATATAGCATATTAAATTGTATGTCCTAGGTTTTTTTTTTTGGGGGGGGGGGGTAAGGCTTAGCACTCCTAAGCCCTCCCAATTTGCGCCTATGACCACTGTTAATTATTTTCCTTGAAATAAAAGAAAGTACTTCTAATTTTTTTGAACAAGAGATTAGAATCATGTCAATTTTCCAACAAATCTTAGAACTATTTTTTAATTTGGTTTTGTATAAAATTATGACACAAATTATTTGATTGTATTCTTCTTAATATTAATAGCACTAGTTACATTACCTAATAAATAATAATACATGGGCAATTAAACATGTTACAATAATTTGTATATAATATTTAAATTTGAAGGAAGTCATTACTACTAGGCACAGTTATAAACTATTAGAACAATTAATATTTTACTATATTTTTCCGTTATAAATTGTAGTTATTATTTATTTCATATTTGATGTTAACCTATAGGTACAAGGTACATATATATATAGATTAATCAATTACAATTAATTAGGGGGCGACAATATTTCTTATTTCAATAATAGACGAAAATGGTTATAATTATATAGATTTGTTTGGGGTGTTTTCCAAAAAATATTTGGAGAAAAATAGGTATAAATGGCCAATAACGTATCTATATAAGGTACCTGTGGAGCGTCCCACGGGTCGCCGCATATACCGCATTTGCCTCCGTTCGTCTGGTATTGTCTCGTGAAGCCGCCGCAATACAACTCGTTGTCATTGTAATTTGGAGGTGAATTGAAGCCATATCTATCGGGAAAAGCATCAGGGTTTTCAATTGATTTTATTGCGACTTAAAAAAAAACTCACCTCCACATGGATGCCCTGGAGGGCGGTTCAATTAGTCGTCCATGACCGTTGGTTTCTTTGTATTCCAGCGCCCATAGGAAAAATCCGATAACCAGTTTTGGTCCAAAAATCATTATGATCTGTAGAAAGAAAGTAAAACGTTAATGTCGTTGATTGGAGGAAGAGATCATTTATTGTGTTATTCAATATTTCGATTTACAAATAGATACCTACCTACATGCAATTTAATTTGTATATTCTACATTTTAACACAGTTGGTACTCGGCGGACTCTATATATTATATGTGTCCATAAACATCTATAATTATCATTTATCACGTTAAACTCCTAAGCTTTCGAATTCACCGGGTCTTCGGCTTCTGAACAGAATATTATTGACACGCTTCACCCATAACAAGAAAAGTGAAAATCGTTGGACTATAATATATAGTTAATAATTATAACTTATTATGTGTAACTATAACATAACTGCGTTTAATTTTCAAAAACCAGTTGATAAAACAAGATTTAATACGAGCCAAACTTGAAGTTAATAATAATATATTATTATATTATATGTTAATAATTTTTAATATTTTAAATAACAACATAGTATATTAATGCTATTACCTTTTAACTTTCAGATATAAAATTATTATACATTGGCATTTCTTAACACTGAACTAGACTAAGAAAAATTAAATTCACGCTGCTTTTTAGTGTTACTATAATATATATGTATATACTATTAACGTTACAGGATTTACGTTTATTTCATACTCAGTACGGGGTACCAAAAAGAGGTCGATGGGACATTTTTGGAATTTATTTTTTTCTGAATGATCAAATTATCTAATTCAATAATATTACCATAATAAGACATGAATTGCACTTTTAAATTAATCATTATTAAATTATGCAATATTTTTAGATAGGTATACCTGCTTTTTTCTATTGATTATTCGTGAGTTCGTGACCTACTGTGACGAAAATAACATTTATGTATACAAGTATCTAAATTGAATTGAAAGAGATTCAAAATTAACCAATAAGTACATTTTATATTAGTATTTAGTAGGTAGGTAATGAGATAAAACCGTTAGATTGCTTATTATAAAAACAATACAAACTACGTATATGCATAGCCGCATAGGTATATCTATTATAACTTAAAAATGGTTAGTAAATATTTTTTTTCGTAATTTTGAAATGATTTTTCTCATTGATAAAAAAAATAAAAATAATATTTTAGTACTAATAGATTTTACTAGTAGGTTAACCTACCTATATTAATATAATAATATTTTATATTAAAACATTTAAAAATATAATGTAATTATATACCTATATCATGTAATAGGTACTTAGGTGTATAGAATATTAAATTAAATTTATCATTAACAAATTATTAGACAATATTATAGTTATTATTATACCTACTAAAAACTATAAGCATTATAGTATAACTAATGAAATGCGAGATATTTTACTGTGCAAATATATGTACAAGGTACGCCTAAAGTAAATTAGACTTTTATTTTGTTCAGTTTAAGGAACCGTCATATGGGTATTCAATAGATAATAGTTTAAATAGTATAAGTTAGTGCATAATATAGGTAAATACTAAATTCCTTAATTGTATGCGGAAGTCATATAAAAATATAAAATATTATCACTATTGCAAAATTGTAGTTAAAAATAAAATATTAAATAAGTATTCAATAATAGGAATTATACATTTATACCTAACCTGGGTGATCCAACCTTTTATAGTTGGCGAGCCAATTTACACTTTCATGAATACACTGAAAGCCAACAATAGAAAAAAAATCTCCCACAACGATAATTCGAATTCGCTGTGACTGCTATACAAACACGATACATACCTACCTAGTTGAATTTAATCATGGATTTGGAAATTGGAAGTTACTCATAGGGGTAAGAGGTCAAAAAAAGACTTCGAGGGCTGAGGGTTGGATGACCCTGACCTAACCACTATAGACATCTAGGCCGGTCTCTGAATTTTTTTTTAACATTTTGATACTTCTAAATGTGGCAATCAAAGTAGGTAAAAATGAATGAAAAATATATGACTATATGAATATAATATAATATTATATTAAGATAACGACCTAATATTATTATCGTGTTCCCATAAAAACTAAAATCGTATGTATAGTCAAAATAAATTTACTTTCAGGAAAATCAATTATATTATTTACCAATGATGATCTAAGTTCATAAATACGTATAATGAATATAGTATGACGGAGCATACAATTCGAATTTCGAATTGTCCACTGGCTGACAAATTATCCCTTAAAAATATATATATTATCGTGATTCATGTTTATCCTGTGTGAAGTTTTGTTTTAAATGGTGTAAACAGTAAATGAAAACCTTATTTTATTAATTTAAATAGTGCATTATAAAGTAAAATAGAATAAATAATAAAAAGATAAAATATGCTTTCGTAATATAAAATCATCTTCCGTAGAAAAATAAAATAAATAAATCGCTGCCGATCCATCGTTTAAATGACGACTTCGCTTCGCAATATTTTTTTTCTCTATAAATTTACATAACAATGTCTATGTGCATTCTTTATAACAGTTGCTTCCGTTCTAATCAGTTACGCATTATAGAACTACTGACGACATCCTCGATTTTATTGAAACTAAATTTCAATATATTAGGTTCATTATATTATTATAGTATTTTGATGATTCAAAATGTAGGTATCTACCTATTTATTTTAACTATATAAACCTGAATAACTATTTATATACTTTGAATCGGCTAATCTCAGAAACTACGAGACCGATTTCATTCATAATTTTTTTTATAAGTTTTCTAATACTTTGAAGAAGGTTCTTACGGAAAGAAAAATCAAGAAAATTGGAAAATGTCAGAAAACTTAATGACTAATATTAATAATAATAATACTAACATTACTCATTTCGATTTACACAGTTAACAATAATCCCTTTCTTTTCTTCTCTATCACTACGACTTTACTCAAATTTTTCTGGTCTTCTATTTTCTACTACCTGTCTACCTGTACTTGTAAATGAGACATTGATTTTGCTTTTCCCGTCGTTACTTTTTCAAAACCTCTGAATGGAATTAAATATAGAGTTTCCACCGTTGAATAGTTTGATTATCCGGCAGTGGAGTATTTATGGGGGGGACAACGGGGGGAAATTGCCCCGGGGCTCCAAATTCTGAGTCCTCGAAGGGGCGCCGTTGCTAGAGGTTATAACAAAATTATTTTTTTATTTTATTGGATTTGTTGAGAAATTATATTAGTGATAACTGATAAATGAATACCTGTATCTTTCTTATAACATCTTTTACATTTCTATACATATTTCTACATAATATATATTATATATATAATGTATTTTATTAAATTGTCGTAAAAAAAGGCTAAAAGGCTAAAATCTAAATTATAATTTGTTTATTTAATTATAAAGGTTGACTTTTTATTAGGAATAAGTGGAGTGTTAATGGTAAAATAAAAGTGTTCTCTAAATTAAGGGAAGCATAAATGCAATAAGGGCAAAATATACATTTTGGGTTATCAATTATCACTTTTACATGGCTTGAAACCGATTGAAAAAATTTCTGTTTTGGTTTCGATTTGTACACTAGTTTCCAATTTTTTTCGGTTTCGGTTTTGGATTTAATACCGATTTCCAATTTTTTCCGATTTTGTTTTTGATTTTGTTCTCGGTTTCGGTTTTATAACGGTTTTTAAGGTTTCAAGCCCTGCACTATTAACTGAGAAAAAGTAAATTGTAAATTAGAGGGGGCTTAAAAGTATTTGGGACAATGAATAATAGGAAACTGAGAAAAAAAGGGGCGCCAAAATGTGTGTACCTATAGAGCGCCAAAATCGTAAATACGCCACTGTTATCCTGCGAGGTTTTAGATAGGCAATACAGTTTTATGGATCAAATTCCTATTCCCAATAAGTACCTACTTATCTATTAATAATGGCAATATTAAATTGATGAACAATATATTTTACTGATTGCAATAGATGTGCCATATGGCATGTATAGTTTATAAAAATATAGTAAACATTTAGATCTATATAGCTTAATTTATTATTATTTATTTCTATATTATATTAGCAATATTCTAATTAACGACTTTGTTTAAAACCATGATGTTTGCAGTGATGTCTACATATTGGTCACGAATTATATTCGGTAAGCCATTACCGACGGTAGGTACCTAACTATAATGTTATATCAATAATAAGGTAGGTACAATCACAAGGCGAAAATAATGTGTCAACTGTCAAATAATGCCGTCGTCATTTCAGCCAATACCTTTTAGGAAGGTACCCACCTTATTGTTCGCCAAATAATACACCGCACGCATTCACAAATCACAAGTATTTTACACCCACAGGCGACAGTCAAAAACATCCAATTTTACCTTCGTACACGGTCCTTTATATATATATATATATATATACATACATATAATATTATATATACAATATACACATAGACATATTATGTGTGGTAAATTCAGTTCACAGTTGTATATTATGTATTTTTATGTATAGGTACGCTGTAGAAGTGTAGAATGTATAGTGTTGTACATACGACACGACTGCAGTGCTGCACGGATTTGACGTTACCCACTGCTGCAGTGCTGCTATCATTCATTGTAGGTATTTTTCACAGTGATGATGACACTTACATAGCTATACATTTTGTCAATTCACGATATTCTGTATAGGTACTCTATATATAGTAAATAGTTATACTGCTAAAACGTCTAGTGCTCTGCCCACATGCATTCGTGAATATATAATTATACATGCCTGTATTGTGCAATGACTGCCGAAAAAAAATGTATCCATTTGACAACTTGTGGCAATGCCTATTACCTACTGCTATGTGTATGTATATTTATGTATACATGTGTTATATTGTTATATATACCATATACGTACATAACCACACATAGGTCATATAGTCGTCGCATGAACTCTGAACAGTCAACACCCACTGACCCACCGTATAGGTAGGTACGTGTAATACACTAATACAGTAATACCTAATGTATAAAATATAAGCAATAATATTATATTATCATATACAGTAATAACTAT